AGAAAGGCCTGGATGTCTCTCTATTTGGCTTCTTTCTCCACTGCTACCACCCCGTCTGCCGCCCGGAGCAGAACGCCGCAGCATCTGAGTGAGCGCTGCAGCTCATCACCATGAAAGCAGGCATTATATTTCAAGGTGAGGTTCAAAACAGCTTGCTTTTGTGTAGGACTCCTTACTTCCTGAAATCAGATGGTGCCTTGTGTACCGAGCAGCTGAGTCATGAGCAAACTATACACTTGCTCTTTCTTTTAAAGCCACCAGCCCAGAACCCGTCTTCCTCTTTAGTAAATCAACACAAAGACCAACTCAAGAGCACCTTCAGAAGAGGTTCCTATAAAGTGTCAAGATATAAAACAAAAGGAATGGTTTTACCTCTCTCTCCGTGCTTTATTTTTCTGTTGACAAATTTTGACAACCAAGAAGTAATTTTTAAAAAAGCACTGACCATTAGCTTTACGTGATATTCTCAGCTGCCTGGGTGGTACAAATGGGTAACAGGCTCAGCTGCTAACCAAATACTGGAGGCTTGAGACTTCCCAGAGGTGCCCTGGAAGAAAGGCCTGGTGACCTACTTCCAAAAAAGCAGCCATCGAAGCTCAATGGAACACTGTGCTGCTCTGACACATGTGGGATCGCCATGAGTAAGAATGGGGTCCATTACTATGATGATTTTCTTTTAGGAATGTTTGTGTCCATATTCAAAGGTCATGCATGACAATGCACTAAAACATTCTAGTGCTCTAGAAAGCCATTCAGGTTAGTTCCATAGAAGCTGAGTAGTGGCAGAGCCCTTACTTCTTGTCTGGTCCAATGTGCAAATTATCACCCACTAGCCCAGACTCGCTGGAAGACACGTTTTGATGAGTTAGTTAGTACAAAAAATGCACAATTTAACATAAAAATCCAAAATTGCAGATGCTCTTGGAAATCTGAAAGATCTGGCAACATTCAACTAAAATTCCTGCTTAGGAACAAGTGGTGTGACTGTTCAGACAGACCTTCAGATAAAATCAGTGCTGAGAGCACACGTTCCCCGGGTCACCACTAATCCAACTCAGTATCCCTATACTCTTCCTATTAGTGCCTGGACCCTACACCTGGGACACCATCTAGCGCAACCACTTTATTTGACAGATGATGAAAGCTGGATCCAGAGAACTTTAATGACTTCCCCCAGGTCACCCAATTAGGTAATAGTAGAGCTAGAATCAGAATTCAGGTTCTCTACCCAAAATGCCACCATTCCCTAGAGTTCCAGCTTTGAAAGAAAATGGGCCACATTTGAAGCAGTGCCTCAGATGACGTTAGCTGTGAAGTTATCTTAATTATAAATAATCATTGGAAACTAATGAAGGCATCAAAGCTATGATACTAGACCAGAAGAGCTGGGGAAAAGTAACTAGGAACTGTAAATGTCCTAAGGGATTTTAAATTTAAATAATCTGTAAGGAGCTCTGGTGGCATAGTGTGTAAGGCATTTGCTGACCAGAATAGCGCCTAAGGCATTTAACTGCTAACCAGAAGGTTGGTGGTTCAAACCCAGCAGCTGCTCCACGAACGAAGATGGGCAAGCTACTCCCGTGAAGATTTACTGCCTCGGAAACCCAACGGGGATCCTTGTGAGTCGGAATCAATTCAATGGCAGTGAGTTTGGTTTTCTGATTTTTACATTTAAAGTAAGGAGTTCTGGTAGTGTAGTGCCTGAGCCATTTGACTGCTAACAAAAAGTTGGCAGTTCAAATCCATCAGCTGCTCCACAGAAGGAAGATGGGGCAATTTACTTCTGTAAAGATTTACTGCCTTGAAAACCAAGCGGGGGTCATTACAAGTCGGAATCAACTCCAAGGCAGTGGGTTTTTTAAAGTACAAGTAGTCCCTGATTAAGAGGGTTTCCTTCCAGTGACTCTGTTGTTAAGTCTATTCTGCTACCTCTTTTTTTATGTTTTAATTATTACTGTGTTTTCTTGTTAGTGTCTTTATAAATCTGATCTTTGAACATCTGTGAATGAATATCTAAGAATGATGATATCAGCAAAGTGCCTAAGGCATTTCAAACCTACCAGCTACTCTTCGGAAGGAAGGTTGGGCAATCTACTTCCATAGAGATATCAACTCGGAAACCCAAGGAGGGGTCACTATGAGTCGAATGGACTCGTTGGCAGTGAGTTATTATTTTTATAGCTATGAAGTACACATTACTAGTGATAAAACATAAAAAAAAATGTCATTAAGTAAGATGTCATAACTTGAATACGTTGTTAAGTCAGGGACTGCCTGTATCATGGTTTTAGTGAAGAACAGCTTTAGAATAAAAAAAAGCTAAATAAGATTTTTCACTTTCTACTTTAGCTATACTGAACCAATTATAAACCATATTCTCAGATTTTTCTTTTAGAGGTTTTCTCAAATGCCAGAATTCTGCCTATCTATAGCATAGTGCCTAAGGCACTTGACTGCTAACCAGGAGGCTGGCGGTTCAAACCCACCAGCCACTCCTCGGAAGGAAGGAAGGTTGGGCAATCCTACTTCCGTAGTGATAACTGCCTCGGAAACCCAAGGAGGGGTCGCTATGAGTCAGGGCCAACTCGATGGCAAATAACAACAACAACAACATCGGAAGGCAGGTTGGGCAATCCTACTTCCGTAGTGATACTGCCTCGGAAACCCAAGGAGGGGTCGCTATGAGTCAGGGCTGACTCGACGGCACACAACAACAACAACATCCTTCACCTCATTAATTCAGAGTAATAGGTTTAAATAAATGGAAAATTATTGAGTCCTTTCAAGATTCTTTATGATGAGTGATATTATTTTCCTCATAAGGATAAATTTATGAGCCATTAAAATTTTTTTTGCTTCCATGGGTAGACGTATTATGTTTTTGTTTTTGTAGTTGTTGTTATGTGCCGTCTAGTCAGACCCAACTCATAGCAACACCTCCTTGGGTTTAAGGCCGTATCACTGTGGAAGTGGATTGCCTAACTTCCGAGAGGTGGCTGGTTGGCTTGAACCGCCAGCCTTCTGGTTAGCAATCAAGTGCCTTAGGCACTACGTCAGTTCTTACTCATACCGACCCTACGTACAAAAGAACAAAACATTACCTGGTTCTGTGCCATCCCCACAATCCTTGCTATGCCTGTATTACAAGCAGATGTATTATATGAAACTACGTAGGCTAGCACTAAGGACTCTAACGTTGATTAATATCTTTTACCGCATCAAGTCAGAATAGAAGTGGCAGTTTTATTACAGTAAGTTTTTTCACCTAGTACCAGCTCATAGTCCCAATTTCATCCTGCTTCCCAGAAGGCTCCAACCCCATGTGTAACATTCCCAGCACACTGTTACCTCAAAGGGATTTAAAAAGAAACTAGAATATTTCTTGGGAAAATTATGTAATCTTGAAAATGACATATCACTTCTCCCCTCCTACCCCTAAAAAATGAAAAAAGAAAGCACTATCTGGTTCAGGATGCAGGTACCATTGATGTGACAAACAGAAACATGCTGTACATTTTGCAGTTCCACAGCTCTTTCAGGGGATCCAGCGAAATGAGAGGCATTAATGCCTTTTAAATTGAGGCAGCAGTGAGCCCAAGACAGTGGAACCACAATGCTGTTCAGCAATGCTGCAATGCCATTTGCAATCAAGGTTACTAAAATTAAACTAACACTTTAAGAAATTAGCATAGCATGTTCCATCACAGCATTATTACAGACAGAAAGTGTCTGTGGGGCCCAAACGGCTCTAAGAACAGAGCTGTTCATCACAATAAGAACCCATATCCAAGGCCACGCAGAGAAATGTTGAGTAGAACCTAGTATTCGAAACCTACGGTGACAAAAATGCTGGTCTCTGTTCCTTCGTAGGACCCACAAGTAGCTGTTCAAGTTCAAAGTACAAACTGCTGTTTATCTTTGTCTTCCTTTTTTAATTTGAGAGGGAAGAGCAGCTCAGCAGTTAAGCAAAGAAAAAGGAAGGTTCTCGTCTGTCATCTGCCAAAGCCTGTTTTCTCCCTCTCCTCCCCTCCACCCTCCCAATCAAGGCAAATTCCTTCCAAGCTAAGAAATAGACCTTTGGCTCCAGTGGATCCAAAACCAAAATCCATTGTCTTTGAGTAGATTGCACCTCATAATAAACAGAGCAGAGCTGCCTAAGCGGGCTTCCAAGGCTGTAAATCTTTACAGAAACAGACTACCACAGAGGGGTTGGTAAGTTCAAACTGTTGACCTTTTGGTTAGCAGTTAAGAGCGAGGCTTCCATGGTTAGATGGTAGGAGGAGTACCTTTAAGGCAATGGTAAGGCACATCTCTTCCTCAGGGCCCACATTACTTCCACTCTGGCAGGGTTTCTGAAACAAAGTATGTCAGCTTCCTCGCTAGGTATATCTCAGGAGTTAAATGCAACTAAAGGGCTAAGCAAATTCCTTGGAAACAAGAGGAGGGAAGACTCCTGGAGCTGTGCAGGTGCGAATTACAGCCTGCCACTGCTCATCACTGCCAGTTTCCCCAAGCCCCTCCACAGGGTCTCCGATAGCAAGGTTTGAGGGTTTTTTTGTTTTGCCTTTTTTAAATAAATGAAATAACTCTTCTGTTCTTTTAGCATATAACTAAACATACAGTACTTGCTCTAAGTAAACATTTGTCAAATGGTCTACACAGTTTTAAAAGATTTCACCAGAGTTCTTTTCCGCCCTAGCAAATCCCCACCCGAGTTGAGCTTTTCCTTCTCCATGGATGGCCAGTTTAGGGCCACACCATCTCACAGAATGGCTGAAGGGTTGTGTCCCCTTGTGGATGTCAAGCCAAAGCTCCGTTTTGTAATGAAGTTCCCTTATTCAATAGCAGACTCACACTCTAGAATTCCAAGATTAATGAAATCTGTAAACACACGAGTATTGATCACCAGACAAAATGAAAATGAGAGAAAATACATCTTTTCTTAGTCAAGACAGGGAAAGGCCAAGGTACGTAAAAATATTTACAGCAGAATTAACTTGTTCTTTTTTATTTAGTCACAACACATCAGTACAATAGAGGTCAAACCCAGTTCAGCGGAGGTCATTTAAACTACACCTGCTAAAGGAATAAACCTGTAAAAGGATACTTTTATAGCCCGAATCAAATTAAATAAACCAAAGAGGAGAGAGGGCAGCAGAGCCCTTTTAAGTAACTCCACAGCCACATTCCCATGCACTGAAAAGAAAACACAACGTAAAAATTTCCAGTTAAAAGAAAATATAGCAGTTCCAGAAAAATTAGGTTATGCATTTAACAGGTTCCACTGTACTTCTCGACTGACCACTTGTACACCATGATCACTTATCCACTCTAATACCTGTGAATCTCAGGCCTATGAGATTAAAAATTCATTGCACTGCTCAGGGCTAGCAAATCCAAGCATATTCTAGACAATTATCTTCAGTTTCATCCCCCACCAGTATTCTAGTGGAGACCTGACCTGGCGGTGTTTCTCTCCTAAGCTAGAACTGTGAGTTCCAGCAGACCACAGCAACTGGTCACATGAATTTAGAGTCATTGAAGATTTGTACTTTCACCTCACTGCTGTAGGAACCAGGTAATTAACTAGTCTTCTTTCCTTGGATAAAGCTGATCATCTGATTTGTCAACGCTTTGTTCAGAAATATAAAATTCAGTAAGAGTTCCCTCCCAAAAAGAAAAAAAGAGTATTATTTATATAACACCTTAATCTGTCAAGACATTAGCAAACAGAATTATGTTAACATCAAGCATAGTGGTTGGAAAAAATTAATTCTAAAAAGAAACTGTAACTATATAAGGAAAAAAACAGACCTAAATGTTAAAATTCCCAAAATTTTGAGGCAAAAACAGAATCATTCTTATACAGATATGTATAAAGAGTAAATTAGGCACAGTACAAACCTAGCACATAGTGTTGGCTTATACTAACTATTTCAATGTAATGTTTCGGACAAAATTTAGCAACTAGTTTTTAAAAATTGCTAATACATGACATACAAAAAAATTAAAAAATAAACCAACAAACCTTGAGTCTTTAAACAAAGTTTATCTGCAAGTGTACCTTTTTCCTTTTCATTCTTACTGACGACTTTAAGGTGATGTTGGCAACAGTCCAGTTCAGCTGGGATTTTACGTTTTCCCTTCCCACTTTTTACAGTGTCAGTTCCTTAAAAAGCTCCAATCTCTGTTCCCCAAGGTCTATAGGGTTTGCCAAGGTTTGCTGCCTGCGCGGGTGTGGAAGGGCTCAGTGCATTGGGAGAGAGCAAATGGAAGGAGCTGACGGAGAAGGGGAAAGACAGAGAGGCCACTGAAGAGAGCAGAGGCGGCGAGAGTTTGGAGGCGGAGGTGACTACGGGAAGCACCGGTCCCAGACCGCCGCTAGGGGGCGCTCGCAAGGCACCCGCCTCCGGATGTGTAGTGGCCAATCTGCCCTGGTGGTGTGGTTCTGTAGGTGAGGCCGTGGTGCCAGTGTTCCCGTGGCCATTCTGGGATAGCAACAGGGGGTGTGCGATGTGCGGGTGATGTCCAAACGCACTCCCCCAGGGAATGTGTCCAAGGCCCGCGTGGGCGCCGCTGGCAGCTTCCCGCTGGGAGGCGTAGTTGTTGAGATGCGAGACCAGTCTAACTCGAAGAGGATCTGTGGCATCTAATCCTTCAATGATGCTCAGGTAACGGGCAACTTCTGCCAGGCATTCCCGAAATCCCAAACTCCGATAGTCCATCGCAAGGGCGTGCGCGTCAAAATAGCCTGAGGAAAAGGACAAAAGAAAAACCTCAGAGCTTTGCTCTTAATCATTTCCCGCATTTCTTCAATCTCAAAGGCAGCTCCTTCCTGGCAAATACCTACATCCTTAAAACGCACAGTCACGCGTTCCTCTGAAAATCCAAATATTTTGGGGTTGACCGAATTCTTTGCATTAATCAACATGAGCAGTGCGCGTTTGCTCATGCAAGTTCAAAGTCCAATTAGAAGCTGCCAAGCAGAAATTGGAATTATACCCTGCTAGCAGATGAAACTATGTTCATTCCTTTAATGTTTTCCCTCAACAACAACAAAAAATACATCAAGGACAGAGAAACCACAGAGCAGTGAAATTCATTAGACACACAGATGTAAGTTATCATCACGGAGCTTTTAGGAGCTTGGTCCTCAGTAAAGCATTTTCCGGCAGGAGACAGACACACAGGCCTTGGTCTCCCGACCTTCTGTTACTTAACCACAAGAAGTTTCTTTGCTCAAGAGTCATGAGGCAGCTCATTTTTAAAATCTTGTATGTAAAATCAAGACCATCTACTTGGGGGGGGGAGCTTTCCCTCAAAACTGCAACGGAAAAATGTGAGAGCTACCTGATTTAAATCAAGGCTGTCACACCCTTAGGGCAGATAGTAGGCATTTTCCAAAAGAAGGTTCTATGTGTATATTGTGTGCTGGGTTAATATGCAGAGTCATGGGGTGATGAATTCACTGGAGAAAATCCTGCCTGCATTTGAAAATGTACTGGCACACAGTTCTCTCCCCACCCCCATGGCACAGGGTAAAAATAAGGCAGCGACTTGGCCAATCTTGGCCTGCAGCCCCTACTCACTCTACCCCGGCTGCTCAGAGCCCTCACTCCTACTCTGAGGTGTGTACCTTTTCCTCCTGCAGTGTGCAGCATTTTCAAGTGATCCACGGTCATCTGCAGGATCTCGGCTTTTTCAAGCTTAGCAGATCCCTGAAGAAGAGAACACCAAGAATGATTTAACACCAAGAATGATTTGGCACCAAATGCCTTTGGGGGAACAACGTACAAAAAAGAAAACAAAACAACTTATCTGTAGAAGTGCTTTGGAAATTGTCAAGTGCGTGCTAAAGCAAAATGATTTATCTGCGTATGAATTCATCTCCTAGGCACACGGTTATTTTTCAAGACGCAGAAGAGGATCAGATTAACGGGGGCGGGGTGGTGGTGCAGGATCTAGAAGGTACAAAGAGCTACAACGAGAGCTCTACCTACTTTCTCCATTACCTGCTTCTCAAAAGCACTGGGTACCAGCCTCCTCAGCTCGGATAAACTGTTATTGATCCGGTCTCGCCGGCGCTTCTCAATGATCTATAGGAAGCAAGCAAAACAAAGGCGGACATTTCCATTACTACTGTAAATTTCAAAGAATGGTGGTTCTTTCTGTTAATTAACAATAAACAACAACAACAAAACAACAAAAAAGGTGCATTGTAAAGAGACTTACGCCTCTCCGTCTTTTCCTGGCCAAGATCTGGGAAGACGTAGTTGGGGACATTGAACCTAGAGCCGAACTCAAGTTTCTGAAATGTGGGGGGACAAGAATCACCGTTAAACAAGGAGCGATGCGAGAGGTTGGCCCCACACCGTCCCCACACTCGCACTGCTGTGGCAATGTGGCCTTGAAAGTGCCGAGGGAGGTGGCAGGTCCACGCCGCGCAGAGGTTAGCGCGGGGCACCGGTGCGCCCCCGGCCCTCGCCCGCTGTCACGGTGGCCAGCAGACACTCTCCTCCCACACCGGCTCCGCTCAGCCGCCGCCAACTCACCCATTCTCGTCTGCACTTTCCTTCTCCACCTCGATGGTCTCGTCCAGCTCGCTATCCGAGGAGCTGTACTCGGGGTGGGCTCGCTTCATGCTGGCTGCGCGGGGGCTCGGGGGAGAGTCAGCGCAGAGGGCAGGGAGGAGTTAACAGCAGCAGCGGCTCTCCGCGCTCGGTTGCTCGCGTTCTGCACACACTGATCCTGCTCACTCTCTGCCTCTGGTTAAAACTCAACCATCCTTTTCCCACGCTGCGCCCCTTCCCAGGGCCCTGGGGAGAGTGGGGGAGTACCGGAGGGCGGGGGAGGGGGCGGATGGGCGGGGTGGCGGTACCAGGGCAACGGCCTCCCCCAAGCCAATCCGGTTTCTTCGCTCGGCTGATTGGCAGTCACTCGGGGGGAAGGGGGCGGGGCTGAGGACAAGGGCCGCTCCTGCTCCCGCCCTCCCCGCCCGCCCCAGCCCGGCGGCGGTGCGTCGGCTCCGCAGGGGCTCCGCCGGCGTTCCTCTGGGGGGAAAGGAGGGG